CTTTGAATATGCTTACTTCAAATGGTAATTCAGTTGCTGATGTAATGCACTGATATGCATTTTACAGGAATCTAAGACTATCCTTGGTCTGAGGTCAGCATGCAATGACAAGTAAATGCTTAGCATGGGAGAGGGCAGTTATATATAATTTTTTTTGTTGAGTTTCACTTAAGCCAAAGATGAGGAAGCAGTAAAAAAGGCAGTAAGAAAAAAAAGGTTTTTATTGTTCAAACAAACTGCATTTGATGGTACTATCGGAGCAACTTGATCATTTTAGCATGGTACTGGCGCATAAAATAAAGAAGCATGATTCCGAAAACCAAAACAACTTCTGTTTATTGAAAAGATGTCCAATAAATTCTGTCTATGTTAACTACAATTCAATCCTCTCGTTTAAACAAAAATCATTTTCAGATAAAAACAGTTAGCTGTGATTTAGAAAGCCATTTGTTGAACATGACAGCTTATTGTTTGTGCTCACTTTGGATGTCATTCAAGCAATGTATAAAAGCTGTGACAGGGTTTTCTTATTCATTTGAATTCCACTTATTTTATCAGTTTATTCAAAGAAATACATTTATTCTTTGATAAAAAAAAAGTGTGATCTATAATTTCACATGTTCACATAAATTTCACACAAAACCAGGCTTTCCTAGAAAAAAATAAAAGTTGGGTTCTGATAATAGTTACCCTTTTGATGTGCTCTAATGCATCCATATCCAAGTACCCACTGTTGGTCTTCCTACTCTTGAAAGACAGGATGAATGGACATCTTATTCAGACAAAGTGGGAAGTGTGTGTGTGGATTCCAGATTGATTCACTATCAATTTTTTTATTCATCTGGATACAGTAATCTCTTTAATTTTCTCTCAGTACATCTTGAATGAACAGAGGCCCAGAAGACTATATTTACTCTGTAAAAAAACTATTCCTCATTAAAGTTACATTTTGAGCAATAGTGATCAACTTCTTTAGCTGAGAACTGGGTTTTTTGCCTTTCAAAGCAGAACTTTCTCAAAAAAAAAAGACTGATACTAATACAATATACAGTAGCTCTAACTAGAGAATCCATTTTAATTCCCAAAAATTTCTTGTTGTGCCAACCGGTTTACATACAATTTCCTGATTCTATGTATGATGAAAAAATAAATAAAAATTTATATATATATATATAAAAATTCCCTTCTCACCCACCGCGGGTGGTTCTTATCCTCTGAGCTCGGGTCCTCTACCAGAGGCCTGGGAGCTTGAGGGTCCTGCAGTATCTTGGCTGTGCCAAGGACTGCACATTTCTGGACTGAGATGTCTGATGTTGTTCCTGGGATCTGTTGTAGCCACTGCTCCAGGCACCACTGTGGTCTTCACCACTGTGGTCTTCACCTTCCAGGCCCTCTCCAGTTCTTCCCTGAAGCCCTGGTATTTCTCCAGTTTCTCTTGCTCCTTTTTCCTGATGTTGCAATCACTTGGTATTGCTACATCTACCACAACGGCTTTCCTCTGTTATTTGTCCACTACGACAATGTCTGGTTGGTTCTCCATTACCATTCTGTCTGTCTGGATCTGGAAGTCCCACAGGATCTTAGCTCTGGCGTTCTCCACCACCTTTGGGGGTGTTTCCCACTTTGATCTCGGGGTTTCCAGTCCATATTCTGCACAGATGTTTCTGTACACTATGCCTGCCACTTGATTATGTCGCTCCATGTACGCTTTCCCTGCCAGTATCTTGCACCCTGCTGTGATGTGCTGGACTGTCTCAGGGGCCTCCTTGCATAACCTATATATATATATATATATATATCTATATATATATATACATATATATATATATATATATATATATATATATATATATATATATATATATATATATATATATATATATATATATATATAGATATATAGATAGATAGATAGATAGATAGATAGATAGATAGATAGATAGATAGAGATAGATAGATAGATAGATAGATAGATAGATAGATAGATAGATAGATAGATAGATAGATAGATAGATATAGATAGATAGATAGATAGATAGATAGATAGATAGATAGATAGATAGATAGATAGATAGATAGATAGATAGATAGATAGATAGATAGATAGATAGATAGATAGATAGATAGATAGATAGATAGATAGATAGATAGATAGATAGATAGATAGATAGATAGATAGATAGATATTCAACTTTTGCCAATGTTCTCTTAAAAACGTAGTGGCCTCTTCCTCAATGACTCAAGTGCAGATTTTTAACTAATGAGAAAACTCTCTATATTATAAGGGAAAAAATTAAACATGCATGTTTAAAAATATTTGTTTTTTTTTCACTTCCTTCTTTCTTTATTTTCTCTTTCTTTCTTTTTGGTGACAAACATTGAGTAAAGTAAAGTACATCCTTTTGCCCATCTAGCTTTATGAATGTGGCGCCCTTTGGTGGCCACTTTTAAACACCGTTGACATGCATGTGAGAATACATTGTTTTACAATCTAAAATCAAGTCATTCACCGAACCACAGAACCAAGTTTGTAAAACAAACATAACACGCATTTTTCACGCTAATAATTTTAAGGAAGCGATAACGCAGGTTCAATTGAAATGAGATATAATCAGTTTGACCTGTTGGGGCGCTGTTTTTTAACCTAGATAGAGTCTTCCAGAAGGGCAGACTCGTTGCCGTTTCTTTGGAGCGGAAGTTAAGCTGTTGTTCATCCGCCAGTGGAGGTTCGTCGATAGAGGAACGATGGCTAGCAATGCTGCAAAGCAAGCCTCTAAAATTGTCCCCAAAACAGCAGCGGCGGGCACTGCCGCTGCGGGGGCCAGCGGAGGACCCCCTGTTATGCCCCTTGCCTCTCCGCTAATGGGGAAAAAGAAGAAACCATTTTTGGGGATGCCTGCTCCGCTTGGCTACGTTCCCGGTCTAGGCAGAGGGTGAGCTAAGTCAATGCTAAGGAGCTAGCCTAGCTACTGGACCAATGTTATTATTTTATGAAATAAAACGTTAAGATTATGTATGAGTCGTGCAATTATACTTGTAATCTAAAATCTAATTTCTTGCTCGTCATAACAAAAGCGAACTTAGTTTGATTTAATAAAATGTAATAACATTTTCGACCGTTATTTTGACTTTCCAATTTCTCCTTAATGAGGTTAAAAGTTTATTTCGAACTGAAAGTCAAAAGCTTTCGAGCTCTTCGTGCCTAAGTATTTTATTTTCTTTAAAACGCGCCAATTTACGACTAAAGTCTTCTCAAGACACTTTACAAGACAAACAGGCCTCGTTTATGTTCAGCTTTATATACGATCCAGTTCTGTCTAAATTCTAATTACTTAAAGTCCAACTCAATAAAAATAATAATCCAAAACATATTCGTCATTCACAACTATTTGGGGAAAAGTCATTACAAGTTACATGGTTATAAGTTGTAATTTGGCAAACAGTTTAAGAACAGTAGAATTCTAAAGGCAGATAGTTAATGTGAAGGACAGGAAACTACTGTTTCAATCGCCTTAGGCTTCAGATATGTTTTTACCTTCAGCCCAGTTTAACCCCTTAACAGGGTGTGGTGAAGGGTTAAGTCACCAAGAAAATAAATAAGAAAAACATCATTGCCCTTTTATACAGGGAATGATCATATTATTTTTAAATTTTTCGTGAAATAAAAAAACATTTTGCTTACATAGTCTTTAAAGTGACCATTTTGTCACTTAAGTTGGGATCTGAACGAAGGTTTTAATCAGTATTTGTGTTGCAGTGCTACTGGTTTCACCACACGGTCAGATATCGGTCCTGCTCGTGATGCCAATGATCCCGTTGATGACCGTCACGCGCCTCCGGGGAAAAGGACGGTTGGGGACCAGATGAAAAAGAATCAGGATGATGATGATGAAGACCTGAATGACACCAACTATGATGAGGTTTCTACGAATAAATTATTTTTCATATAGACTTTGTGATGCAGTTCAAATTTGTATATTGTTCACTCAAAAATGTATGACCACAAAACTGGCAAACTGCTCCCCTAACAGTGTTTTTGTCTCATTTATCCCTAAAGTTTAATGGGTATGCAGGGAGCTTGTTCTCCAGCGGGCCGTATGAGAAAGATGACGAAGAAGCAGACGCAATATATGCGGCTCTGGACAAGAGGATGGATGAAAGGCGCAAAGAAAGAAGGTCGCTAGAGGAACTTGGAAATGAAATACTTGTTGTTTGGTAAGGTGCTGGATGTGTCTCTAACATTGATTGTTTGACATGCTTTTATAGGGAACTGAGAGAAAAGGAAGAAATTGAAAAATATCGTATGGAGCGACCAAAAATCCAGCAGCAGTTCTCAGATCTGAAGGTGGGACAATTTCTTATGTTTTCTTATGTCTCTAAACTTTTGACATACTGTACTTCTGTTGTATTTTAGATAAAATATCCACCATCTTGTAGTTTGTACTAATTCAACTGTTTCAATGTGCAGGATGAAAGATGACATAGTAGAATGATTTTTTTTTTTTGCTGTATTTGTCTAACTGCTTTGTAAAATTGTAAAATGCACTAAAAAACTTTTATTAGAAAAATTATTCTGATCCTTGTCAAAACTAAAATTACTGAAAGTTATAATTGATCTTTATGGCACCAATTTACTCTGAAATTGACAGACTTAACATTATTGTTTGAATGTCATATTAAACTTGAGGTGTTTGACTACAAGTTTGTATGAAGAAATAAATGACTCAACCAACGCAGAGGTTTATTCTTCAAACCTGAATTTTCACAAGTTAGATTTATAAATCTAAATATATTTTGCCTCCTATGTTACTTTTTGATTGTTTATATTCCTGTGACAACATGGCTCTGGATATTTGCTGTCTTAGGTCACAGAAAAAATAAGGTTTTCTCAACTTTGATGTTTTCCTGTTGTTATTTTCTTTATTCTTGCAGCAAGAAAGTTTTTTTTTTTTTTTTTTTTTTTTTTTTTTTTTTTTTTTTTACTTTATTGGTTACATTTCAGTGTTAGTTTGGAGAAAAAAAAACTCATAAAAAAACAGCTGCTCTATTGTCGCAGTTGTTTGGGTGACTTTTTTTCTTGAATGCAGGAGAGGATGAGTTTCCAGGAAGAACCTTTATTAATTTTTCCTAATCATTTATAGAGGAAGCTGGCAGAAGTGTCAGAGGAGGAGTGGCTGAGCATCCCTGAAGTCGGAGATGCACGGAACAAGCGTCAGAGGAATCCCCGGCATGAGAAGCTGACCCCCGTCCCTGACAGCTTCTTCTCTAAACACCTGCAGAGCGGAGAGAATCACACCTCTGTTGATCCGTTGCAGGGGGTCAGTATTTATGCAAATACAAATAAGTTGTAATAGAATCCTGCCACTGAACATTGTATGTTGTAGTTACAATCAGCTCCAGCAGGAGTCAGGATGTCTCAGTCAGGATTGCACTAAGTGTTGTCTTCCTTATGTTATCTTGACAAGAGATAACTACAGAAGGTATGGATAATCACATAAGCTGTAGTAAAAAAATTTTTATTAAAACATAAAAAGGCAATTTGATCTTACACCATGGATGCGTATGTTGCAGAATAGTCTACCATAAAGAACTGCAAACCTAGTTTATTCAATAAAATCTTTCTGCAGTACATTATTTTAACATTGAAATTCATGTTTCATAGGTGATGTCGGTATGCTAAAAGGCAGTATTTTATTCAATTATTGCTTCCTGTCTTTTCCAGCTTGGCGGTCTGAACACACCGTATCCAGGAAGCATGACACCGGGTCTGATGACTCCTGGGACAGGAGAGCTCGATATGAGGAAGATTGGCCAGGCCAGGAACACACTTATGGATATGAGGCTCAGTCAGGTGACCTTCAATACATTCTGAAATATGGCACTTTTGTTCATGCAATGTTGGTTTTAGATCTAAAGTGTCATGTTTATTTTCTCTCCTTTTTACCCTCTAGGTTTCCGATTCAGTCAGTGGACAGACTGTTGTTGATCCCAAGGGTTACCTTACAGATCTCAACTCCATGATTCCCACCTATGGAGGAGATATCAGGTAAGAATAAGCTGCTCTTAAAGATAATCAATAAGACGCAACCCTTTTCATCTTTTTGTTTGATGATTACTTTCTGGCTATGCATCCAGTGACATTAAAAAGGCTCGACTGCTGCTGAAGTCAGTGAGAGAGACCAACCCCCACCATCCACCTGCTTGGATTGCTTCTGCCAGGCTGGAGGAGGTGACAGGCAAGCTGCAGGTGGCTAGAAACCTGATCATGAAGGGCACAGAGATGTGTCCAAAGGTAAAGATAATAAATAGATTGAAAACAAACTCAGTTTAGGCTTTAAATGTCTCACATATGGTATATTGTAATCAAAATAAATGATATCTCACTGGTTGCATCATTTTAGTTCTCGGTGACTAATCGCAACAAGTTAAAACTTGATACTCTTGTTGGAGAAAAATACATTTGGTGAAAGAGTCTACATTTCTGCTGAGAAAAATATTTCTGATCTGATTTTCACCCAGAGTGAAGACGTGTGGCTGGAGGCTGCGAGGCTCCAACCTGGTGACACAGCTAAAGCCGTGGTTGCTCAGGCTGTCCGCCATCTACCGCAGTCGGTCCGCATCTACATTAGAGCAGCTGAGCTTGAGACAGACATCAGAGCCAAGAAGCGAGTCCTCAGGAAGGGTAAGGTCATGGTTTCTTAGTGCTGAAGAAAAAGGAAACATAAATAAACTCATTATAGGTATTGTGTTTGTCCTCTTTTTGCACTCGTCATCTAATGAAGCAGTTGTTTTGGAAATATACGTTGCTGTGAGCTTCTTGTGCCTTGAGTTTTTGTTTCTGCTGCCAAAAGGAAGACGCTAATTTCTGTCAGGCTACAATTCAAGGCCAGTCCCAATCTGTTGATTGTCTCATAAAAGAGCCCACACAAAGCTATCAGAGTAACATTTGGCAGCTGTGTTGCTGGCTTGTCTTCAAGGCCAGGCCCTGCATTTAACCATGGTGTCAATGCCCCAACACACATACACGCACACACACACATGCACTAGTGATTCCCAGCAGCATACTCCACTGACAGAGATGGATGGAAGCAGTCTCTAAGGAGGATCTTTCTCCGCCTCTACATGTTTGAACGTCTCTACTTTGCCTTTCCTGACTACATACATAAAACTTCTTTTTCTGCTTCCCACCCAACTTGACTACAAATGTGCTACTTGAACTGCTTTCACACATGAAGTGTTTTCCATGGTAATTTGACAGCTAATCAGTGTTTCAGTTTCATGTCTGATGCTTTTTCATGAAAAAAAGCATTGAAAATAATTTTAGGTACACATTAGTACAACTTTAAGTCTCGCTTGGATGCAGGCACAATTCCACATCTAAAACAAGATTTGAGTTGTAGGTTCTCACATCAGACTTATTTCTGTTTTTCCACTTTTGGGTTGAGTTTCATTCACTTAATAAGCTGATTATCTGTCTGACTGTGAATGGTAGACACTCACAGCACATAAAAACATATATAGTAAAATTGGTAAAGGAGATAAGAAATGCATACTGTTTTGATTGCATTTGGTGAATGACCACAAGTAACAGCTTCATTTCTTTAGAGATTTGGCTGTGTTGCTGTGCTGAATTAGACCCATTTTTCTGATTTACTCTCCACATTTTCAGCTTCCAGGTTTGCATTCCAACCCGGCTTAGTGTTTGGTCCAGGTTGAGAGCTTTTTAGTGGCTTTTCTCCAAAAATGTCTCTTATCTGACTGGCTGAATGTTTGTGTCTTTAACAGAATGATTATTACATTTGTGTGTCATGTGTCAAAATGCTTTATATGCTGTCATCACCTAGTGTGTGTTTGTCTCTTTCAGCTTTGGAGAACGTGTCAAAGTCAGTTCGACTATGGAAGGCAGCTGTTGAGCTTGAGGAGCCAGAAGATGCCAGGATCATGCTCAGCAGAGCTGTTGAGTGTTGCCCTACGAGCGTAGAGGTAAGCTTCAAACATCCTCACCTTCACATGATGTTTGGTTTCCAGTGATCAGAGAATATGTACAGTGAGGTCCACTACATATATAGAAGTTCTTATGTCTTTTTATGTTACAAACAAATCATTGTCAACAGGCCAAAGCTCTACCAAAACTGGAAATTGTTTGCAGAATTCTGATTACTGCACTCTTAATATTAACATTTCATTTTGAAGTAGATTTTGTGCAGCAGTCAGACACACAGGAAAGTTTTTACAAACTTTTACCATTTTGGTTTTCTTCAGCTATGGCTGGCTCTGGCCCGTCTGGAAACCTATGAGAACGCCCGTCGTGTCTTGAATAAAGCCAGAGAAAATATCCCCACCGATCGCCACATCTGGATCACTGCCGCCAAGCTGGAAGAGGCCAATGGCAACACTCAGATGGTGGAAAAGATTATTGACAGAGCCATTACTTCTCTGCGGGCCAACGGTGTGGAAATCAACAGAGAGCAGTGGATACAGGTCTGTCAGTCATTACAGAGCAGATGAAAATCAGATTTCAAATGTTTTGGTAGACTCAAAATGCCTGAGTCTGCAGAGTCGGCTGTATTTTTATGCTATAAAAATCCTGCTGGCTTTGGAGTTTTTTTTTTTATTTTTTTACATGTTTTTATATTACCCACTTCTACAAACTCGACCTTGTTTAATGTATTTTCAGTTATTTGGTCCATACCAAAAAAATTAGTGTGGAGAGCAATGGACTTTCCTGGTGTTAATACACTCTCAGACTAACGCACATTAGTTTTAAATGGCCTCAAAACACTTTCATTCTCTTCTACTGCATTAACTTAACATCGCATCTACAAAAACCATCCTTGTTGATCATTTCCATTTCTATTTTCCTTCTGAATCTCAAACTACCGTATCAAAATAAGGTGGAAAATATGACTGCACCTTTAAATGCTTGGATTCATTCTAATTTGACAGAATGCCAGGATATTGGCTAAGTGCTCCAGTGTTACTTCAACTGAATGAAACTAAACATGCCAGCACACTGACTGACATTTACGTCTCGTGTTCAGTTATTTTGCAATAACCGACTGTCAAATAGTTTTTCTTTTCTTAAAAAGTTTTTCTGTTCTGTCTCCCTACGCTTTGCGTTAAGTGTGAATGATGGAAAAACACCCGTTACAGCTCGCAAAAAGTTTAAGGTTTTACGTTAATTAGTACCTTACCTCATATTATCCTCAGGCAGTCGGCTTTCCTTAGAGCAGAATGGTCTCTGTAAAAGACAGTTTATGCATATATAAAACTGTAAGTCATTTACATGGATGTTAATCAGTAACCAGGGTTCATCCAAGGATCTCCGGTATCTGTCAAGAAGCATTTTTTTCCTCTGACACCAGGTGTGTAAATACTCCCTTCTACATTTCCTCATAATTCCAGTCTGAGTGCGAGAATAAAATGGGTGCCAACAGTTCATGCCTTCAGTACTTTTGCATTCTTCCTCTGCATCCTGAGATGTTTCTGTCTAAATGTTTCTCCTTGTCACGCAGGATGCAGAGGAGTGTGACAAAGCAGGCAGTGTGGCCACCTGCCAAGCGGTGATCAGGGCTGTCATAGGGATTGGCATCGAGGAGGAGGACCGCAAGCATACGTGGATGGAGGATGCCGACAGTGTGGGTTTCAGAAAAAAATATTTTTACTTTTTCTTTACACCAGTCGTCTTTAAAGAACTTGCTCTCACCACCATTCTTGACATGTAGGGATCATTTTGAAAGCCTCTCTTTGACTTCTCCAGACATAGAAATACATATCAAAACTATGATTAAACTAAAACGCTGGGCATCTAACAGAAAAGCTACCAGACTGACTGAGCTCTTCCATTCCTGATAAAAGCAATGGTCAAATATCCTGGCAGAATAATGCCAGAACGTTATTGATGTTCACAAACTTTGTGCTGTTTGTCTGTATCTGGATGAGGGACTGAATGTTATTACTGGGATTATATATCTGAGTCTATGTACAATTTTGAATGTGTACTGTTTTGTTAAATTCAAGCTTGTGCATTAACACATTTAAGTTATTTCTATCACCATTCCACTTTGGAAAAATTGTTGAAATTCTTCATGAAAGCTGTCAACAATTATTGTGCAGCAGATGTATTTTCTACACGAGTTTCCTGTTGGAAATGTAACAGCTGCTCTTTGTGTTTCAGTGTGTGGCCCACGGAGCATTAGAGTGTGCCAGGGCCATTTATGCCCACGCCCTGCAGGTGTTTCCCAGCAAGAAAAGCGTTTGGCTACGAGCCGCCTACTTTGAGAAGAACCATGGCACCAGGTGAGCAGTTTCATTTACTACTCTTCTTTTCTTCTTTTGACTGATTGCCAGTATCTAATTTTCTATTGCTTTGTTCTCATGGATCACATCAACTGCATCTGTTCCTCTTCCCATCCATCTCAGGGAGTCTTTGGAAGCCCTTCTGCAGAGAGCAGTAGCTCACTGTCCCAAAGCGGAGGTGCTGTGGCTTATGGGCGCCAAGTCTAAGTGGCTGGCCAATGACGTTCCAGCTGCAAGAAGTATCCTTGCTCTTGCCTTTCAGGTGAAGACAAAAATCATGCAGAAGTTGACTCGTCACACTTTGCTGCCTTTCCTGTGCTGAACTCAGCCTCTCTCTGTCTTGCCCCTCATGTTTATTCCAGGCGAATCCCAACAGTGAAGAGATCTGGTTGGCTGCCGTCAAACTGGAGTCTGAAAATAATGAATATGAAAGAGCCCGTCGACTGCTGGCCAAGGCTCGCAGCAGCGCACCAACAGCCCGGGTGGGTGAAATTACTAGAACATGCTAGGAGGATTTTTTTTTTTTAAACAAGCCTTATGACTTGATTTTTGATCAGAAAGATAAACGTTTCTTGGAAGAGGATTCCACGATTCACCGTAACCACCTGTGTTCCTATCAGTAGAGCTTTTCAGTGACCTGTGATCCACAATCAACTCAGCGATACAGTTTTAATCTCTTTTCTAGAAAGTCGTGTTTGAAAGCAAGCTATTAGCAATTCATCTTTCATCTGGCCTCTTCAAACATTCTGGTGTCTTCAGGTTCAGGCTTGCAGTTCTTACTCACCTACAAACAGGAACACTCTGTCTGTCAGATGCTGTTAGTTGAGCTCATTAACGATCATATCTGTTTAACCTGGCTACATTCCCTTTTCATCCCTGTATTATAGGCTCACAGAACCTTACTTTTAATGTTGGATGAAACACATTTATGGGGTAATAACTCAGTTAAGCTCCTAGCAAGGATGCCAGATTATTTTACAATGTTTTTTTTTTTTTTTCCCCCTATTTTATGTCTTTGTTGATGAGAGGGCAGTCCACTGGAATGCATTCATCCTTGTTTTCTGACCGAGGCAAATCTTTTCTCTGTCATGTTCACAGGTTTTCATGAAGTCAGTGAAACTAGAATGGGTGTTGGGAAACATAGAAGCGGCGCAGGAGTTGTGCACTGAAGCGCTGAAACATTATGAGGATTTCCCCAAGCTGTGGATGATGCGAGGCCAGATAGAGGAGCAGTGTGAAAACATGGACAAGGCCAGAGAGGCTTATAACCAAGGGGTGAGGCAGAGTAAAAGCTGTGCTTACGATTTGGTGCTTTTCACGCTGCGTGTCTGTGTAAGTGGAATGAGTTGTTTATTTGTGTTTATTTTGCTGTTGCAGTTGAAAAAATGTCCCCACTCGGTTCCTTTGTGGCTGTTGTTGTCTCGTCTGGAGGAAAGAATCGGCCAGCTGACCAGAGCCAGAGCAATCCTGGAGAAAGCGCGGCTGAAGAACCCACAGTCCCCTGATCTGTGGTGAGAAAACACAAGTGAATGTATTTTATCTGAGGTCGAGGTTCAAAGGATCTCCTTTGACATCTTTTTACATTTTGGTTTAGAATTTTTGGACCAAGTATTGAACTATATCAATTATTGGATTTTCTGCCATATGGACAATATTTTCACTGTAACACTGAAAGCCAAATTTAGCCAAATATGAAAACATGTTCACCCAGAAATTTCTTGAAATAATTGAAGTGTTTGTTTACCAGGCTTGAGTCTGTCAGGTTGGAGTACAGGGCTGGATTGAAAAACATAGCCAACACATTAATGGCCAAAGCACTGCAGGAGTGCCAAAATTCAGGTAAGGATATATACAAAAACACATCCTTTTATTTGATAAATAAAGGTTTTTTCCTTAGAAATCTGAAGAACATTGATAATTCTTCATTGGTGAATAAAGATAATAGAAATTATTTTAACTAGTTTGGGTCTTGAGCTAATTTTTGTCTAAAAGGAATAAGAATAATTCAATCATTACACTAATTTTGAGCTTTTATTTCCTCTGGTTACAAACCACATTGGATCTTTAAGTGAGTTAAAAAACGAACAAATTTAAACTCGATGTTAAAAAAAAACATTTTTAAATGTTTCCACTGAAATAAAACTAAACTAAAATGATCACATAGAAGCTATGTTTTTGGCTGTATGTTCCGATTTTTTAGCTGATAATTCATTCTTGACAACAGAATAAATAGGCTTTTACATTTTTGCAGCTTACTGAATGTACATTTTTAGAAAATAAATTTTTCTTTCCCCATTGTTCTTCGTTAGGCATCCTGTGGGCTGAAGCCGTATTCTTGGAAGCCAGACCCCAGAGGAAGACAAAGAGTGTGGATGCTTTGAAGAAATGTGAACATGATCCTCATGTCTTGCTCGCTGTGGCAAAGTATGGCTAAAACTTTTTACCGCTTTGTCCTTTTGTCAGAAATAACTTACCTTTAGTAATCAAATGACTGAAATTTGATTATTTTTTTCATCTTTTATATATATATATATATTTTATTTAAACTTATGCATTATTAGGTTATTCTGGAGTGAGCGTAAAATCACCAAAGCCAGAGAGTGGTTCCTCAGGACAGTAAAGATTGAGCCCGACCTGGGAGACGCTTGGGCTCTCTTCTACAAGTTTGAGCTGCAGCACGGCACAGAGGTACTCAGATCTCCAACTTATTTTTGTGCTACCTTGTGAATCATTAACTCTCCAATTCAGTTTCTCTTTTTAGCGCCATACAGTTTAAAGTATGATAAGCATTTCCCAAAAGCTTCATGGCTCCTGCCTGTGTTTTTATCATAAGCGTTAACTCTAATGGTCTGCATCCATTAGGAGCAACAGGAAGAGGTGCGGAAACGATGTGAGAATGCAGAGCCCCGCCATGGAGAGCTGTGGTGTGCCGAGTCCAAACACGTCCTGAACTGGCAGAGGAAGACGGGAGAGATTTTAGCACTGGTCGCCAGCAAGATCAAGAATACATTCTGAAACTTTGAAGAATCCCTGGAGGACTTTGGCAGTCACCAGGAGCAACTATGGACACTCTTGTTCTCTACTTGGACTTTCCCAGCTCACACAAAATTCATTTTTTTAGGTTTATCATTCTACAAACATGGATTTTGTTTTTTTTTTGCAGAAAATAATGACGATCTAAAAATGACAAAGGTCATGCTGGATTCATATGGATATGACTGTAGTAACAACATTCAGTAAAAACCCAACTGTTTTTGTGAACTAGCCTTTGGGTGACAGCATCACATGGAATAAAGTCTTGGCTCAGACATTTAACGTTGTTAATCTTTAGGATTTTCTCTTGTTTGTCTTATTGCAAAGTAAACCCCTTCTTCAATTTACTTAGCAGTCTATGTTCTATGTGTTTTTTTTGTTTGTTTGGTGTTTTTTTTTTCAGTTATCCATTATCTTCCAGAAAAAAAACTTAAAGCTTTGATCCACATAATGATGCTCCTACCTGCCAGTGATATTTTACATTTTGGAAATAAAAAGATTTTTAAATATATTGAAAAAGTAACTACTTATCGATAAATGACTTTTTCTAATCAGTCTATCTGATCACTTTTGATGAAATAGATCCTTTTATTTAATTCATCTAATCCGTGAGAATTCCTTAGATATTTTATGGAAAGGAATATGATTTATGTCACAAAAATAGATTCCAGAATTAAAATATTTCCTCTTCAGTTGAAATAGATTTCATTGGTCTTAGTTATAAAATCAATAACTTATTGATAATCTCCTTTATCTTAACTAGGTAAAGAAACAAACATAAAGGCTCACTGAAGATATGACTTTTTCAAAGCATAATCAATGTCTCCAAGTTGAATTTAAAAGTCTTGATGTTTAAGCAAAATATCTTTTGACTCGAAGAAAAGGTTTGGAGTGTAAA